ACTCGGTCCAGCGCCGGTTCCGTCACCGGACTTCTTCCGGAAGGTGCTGTCTTGGATGATCCAAATCTTTGTCATCTTCGTATCCGGGCCGGCGATGGAGATGTCGGCGGAGATGATGAGGTCCATGACGAGGAAGGCGTATGGCAAGCTCCGCTCAGTGGCGATGGAGGCGCAATCCGCCATGTGAATCATGACGTATTTTGCCCAATTGATCGAGGCGCCGTGGGTGATAGCATGAACCGCCTTGAGATCCTCGTTGAAGAGACATGTGTGGCTACCGTCCCGGGGGCGAAGAATCCGGGTGAGGATGTAGAGAAGAAGACGCTTCTCCGGCGGGGCTGAGTGGATTGTTGGTGCGCCGCTGTGACGGATGAGGTTGGTGATCCCAAGCTCTCGGATGACCACAGCCTCGCTGTTGAGGATCCAATCATCTCCGCCATATGTTGTTATGTCGTCACCGCGGGTGGGTTCTTCTTCTATAAATCTTTATGCAGGAATTGGAGAAGGTCAATCAACTTCTAGGCCACCGCTCTTTGATGGCACCAACTACTCCTATTGGAAGGAACGGATGAGAATCTATATCCGTTCAACCAACTTCCAATTGTGGTTGGTAATCAAGAATGGCGAGGAAATCCCTATGAAGAAAGTGGGAGAAACCACTGTCCCTAAGACTGAGGACGAATTTGATGCCGAGGACATCAAGAAGATTGAGACTTATGAAAAGGCCATCAATATGCTATATTGTGCGGTCAACCCCGATGACTACCGAAAGATCTCCTGTTGCACAACCGCTAAGGAGATGTGGGACAAGCTTGAAGTGACGTACGAAGGTACCGATCAAGTGCGTAAAGCCAAGATCGATTTTCTCACCCAAGAATATGAAATGTTCCGAATGAAGGAAAGTGAGAAAATCGACGACATTTTTGATCGTTTCTCAAAGATTATAAACGATCTTCATGCTCTTAAGAAGACATATACCAACAAGGATCTCATAAGGAAAATCCTGCGAAGTCTCACCCCCGAATGGAGATCTAAAGCCGATGCAATCTATAAATCCATTAGAGTCTCCAACGTCAACATCGACGGGCTAAGAGGTAATCTTAAAACCTATGAATCTACTATTCTAACCCCGTCTTTGGATGAACAAAAGAAAAAGGGGATAGCTCTCAAAGCCACCAAGGAACCGGTGGAAGAGGTTTCTAGCGATGACGACAACGAGTTTGGACTCGTCATCAAGAAATTTCACAAGTTCATGAAGAAGGAATTTGAGCGGAAGGGAAGAAAGCACGACGGTCTTCCCAAGTGCTACGGCTGTGGCGAGATTGGCCACATCAAGCCAAGGTGTCCAAAAGCCAAGCACGGCAAGGACAAGCCCGGCTTCAAGAAGCAAAGGGCTTACATCTCTTGGGGTGGCGATTCCAGCGACGAATCAACCGACCAAAAGGAGGACGAAGTTGCAAATCTTTGCCTCATGGCGCATGAAGATCAAAACGACGACGTCCAAGAGGTATGTACCATTTCATCCGACTCTGATACTTTTGAAGAAATGCAAGAAGCACTTCATGAACTTTATGAAGAATTTGTTAGCGCTTCTAAAACGAACAAATCTTTAGAGAAACGTATTTCTACACTTGAAAATGATTTTGAAAAATTGGAAAAAGATAATGAAAAATTAAAACAAGAAAACAATTTTTTTGGAAAAAGAAGCGTTGACAAACCGGAAAGTTCCTCAAGTGAATGTGAATCTTGTAAGGCTTTAAAAGAACAAGTCACTAAACTTGAGAGCACGGTCAAGAAATGTTGAAACACGGGCATGTCACGTTTTCGTACTAAAGCCGTGTTTGTTTTTATGACAGGTTTTGATAATGCCAAACCGCCGTGATCAAGTCAAACTTTGAATATACAAGGCGAAGAAGGAAGACAAGAACAAGAGCTAAAAGAAGACCAAGAACGAAGACCTTAGTCTTAGTGTCGTTGAGTCGGTCTTCATTGTGATCAAGACCGACCCAACCTTTACACCTTGGCTCTTTAGGCTAAAAACCTTCATTGCACTTCTTAAATCATAAAAAT